GAAAGGAGAATGAGTTACAACAATGGACTAAGTATGGATGATGGAGAGAGAGAAGATAGTGTTGTAGAGATAAGCATGGTAGATGCTCATGAAGATTGTGGCCCTGGCTGGCCATCATGAGAAATGGGTATTATGGCATTGAGGGGTAGAAATTTTCACCTTTGGGTTGCACTTGAAACAGGGAAAAGCCTACTCCTACAGTAACATTGGGATTCATAGTCAATAAAATACCCAAGATTCTATAAGCCAGACTCCTGCGTGGTTTCTTCACATTGCTCTCAGAGTCTATGGCTCCAAAGGGCTGAAAGGAAGAAGGTGAGAAGGGGGAGCCATCCCTGATGCCTGGACCTTTCCTGTGTCCCCAGGCCTCCCCAACAGCTGCTGTTACCAAGGCACCAACACTGCCAACATGAGATGCAATGTGAAAGTGTAAAAGATACTGATTTTGTCATCAGAACAGTCAGAGTTCCCTTGGGTCAGTTGGCAATCATGTACTGAGTGTCTTCTGTGTGCCAGCTCCAGTGAGGCAAGAGGCATCAGGAGTGCTCCCTGTCCTCACAGATTACATGGCCTTATTGGAGAGACAGAAATGTAAATAAAGAAATGGTGCCATGGAGGATAGAGCAAGAGCTCTCCCTGGAAATGCTGGAGATGACCTCACAGAGGATAAGCCATTTGAACTGGCCCTTGAAAGAGGAGAAGGAATTTTCCAGGCAAAGAAGGAGTAGGCTTCTAGCTTAAAAAAGGCAGAAAAAATATGCTATTTTCACTCCCTCTCCAAAACCCACTAAAACTACACTAAGAAAAACCAACCAAACCCGTTGCCGTCAAGTTAACTGAGACTTATAGCGACTGACCCTATAGGACAGAGTAGAACTGCCCCATAGGGTTTCCCAAGAGCGGCTGGTGGATTCGAACTACCAATCTTTTGGTTAGCAGCTGAGCTCTTAACCACTGTACCACCAGAACTCCAAAACTACATTAAAGGGACTTTAAAAAAAAAAAAAAAAGATATAAGACCACAAAGACACAAGAACAGGCAAGGAGAGCAATAGGAACAACAAAATTGTGAAATTTGGGAAGCAGATAGACAAGTGGAAACTGACTTAGCAGACCCAAGGAAGCTTAACCCTAAGCTAGCAGTGGGGAAAACTGAGACTGACTCTTTTAATACCAGAAAATTCCCAAAAGGTATAAGAATTGGCAACCAGGTAGCTTTGGAACTGGGGGCAAAGGGAAGGAGGACTGGTTAAAGTTGCTTGAAAAGCAATTAGATCTCTTGATTTCCTCACTCACTCTATCCCACTTAGTGACTACTCAGTCCCCACCTGAGCCAAAGGTGAGGTTTATTATCTAGAAAGGCAAAACTGCGGACTAAGAATAAACCATCATAGCTGAAGGTATACCTACATATGGAAAACAGGAAAATGTAATAACAATACATAGAAAATAAATGCGTTATGTGGACAGCCCATCCCAATCTTCTAATCTGGGTGGCTCCCAAAAAACCTTTATCCTTCAGGCAAGATACTGGAAGAGTATTCACTAGGGAATCTAACTATATAAGAGGAAGAAACTAAAGAAAACTTACTTTGGCAGTTCCCAACAGTAGTCACCCAGATCACCCTACAGTGGAGATCCAACTTTTCAGGACCCTCCTATTTATTCAGAACTTCCAATCGCTTTTTAGTCTCCCACTCTTAACCATTATCTGACAGCAAGAATTCCTAGATATCTTAGGAAAGCCTGTAAATGGAAGATTAAGGAAAAAAAAATTTAAACAAAAAAGCAAATAGTAGGAAACACAAACTATGCAAGGAGAAGGAAACTTTTAGAAAACTACCACTAACAGATTCAGAGAGCTAAGAGAAGATGTTACATTCATGAAAAGAGCAGGATGCAATAGAAAAGGACAAAAAAAAAGAGCTCTTGGAAATTTTAAAAAATCAGTAGAAGAGTAGAAAGATAAAATTGAGGCAACTTCCCAGAAAGTAGAGCAAAAGGACAAAGAGATGAAAGGATAAGAAAATAAAACAACCAGTCCAGGGGAGCATACCCCAAATAACAAGAGTTCCAGAAGGTGAGAACAGAGAAAACGAGAGGAAGAAATCAACATCGAAATAATCTCAAATTTCCTAGAACTAAAAGCCATCACCAGACTGAAAGCACTCAAGCATGCCAAAGCTTGAAAAGACATCCATATCAAGATAAATCTTTACGCTGAATTGACAAATGTGTTATATATTTTTACAACAATAAAAAAAGATAAATCATTATGAAATTTCAGAATACTGGGGACAAAGAGGAGATTCTACATGCTTCCAGAGAGAAAAACTGGTCACATGTCTTCCCATTCTCAACAGCAACAATTGGAAGCAAGAAGACAAAGGAGCAATGTCTTCAAAGTTCTTAAGGAAAATTATTAGCAACTTAAAATTCTATACCCAACCTAACTCTCCATCAAGAAAGACATTTTTAGACACAAGGAGTCTAACAGGAGCTCCTGTGTACTCTTTCTAGGAAGCTACCACAACAAGAACGTAAACCAAAAAAGAGGAAAATGTGGAATAAAAAAAAAAGGAAATTCATCACAGGAGACAGGCAAAGGGACTCTACAGGATGATGATAAAGGGAGATCCTAGGTCGAAACTGTGCATCAGACACAGAGGGCAACTAAATCATATTGGAGCAGAGTGACTCAAAGGAGAGATTGGTCGACAGTTGTCATCACAATGTCCTCTGCTGTTCTACCAGCTTTAGGACCTGACGAAACTACTGGAGGATGTCTTTCAATGAAGCCAGGGAGTAAACTAAGAAAGATAAAGACATGAGATCCAGGAAACTGAATCAAATCCAGGAGTAAAGGAAAGGGAAAATCCAAGATAACAGCTGTGTATCAGGCCTTAAAGATCACCAGTTCAGGTAGAAGAAGAAGAAGAGATCTCCAAGAAAGAAGTCTCCAAGGAAAGTAAGTGATAGATTATTGATAACATTGATCTTTGGAAAAATATATTAGAAGACTTTTAGAAAGTATAAGAAAAATTATCAATAGGTATAAAAATGAAATAAATAAAAAAGTAAGGAAAGTATTAACTTTAGAAAAGGCATAAATAAGAAAGGAATATAATCATAATATACTACAATGTTTGGTTATAAATAATATTGGCATAGGCATAAGATAAACAATAAATATTGATTTAAGCAAAATTATGATGTAACTGTATTGAGAGGATACATGAGGAAAGGCAGAGAAAATGATGATATAAGAGAGCTAATTCCTTATCTACCATGACATGAAGATAATAGAGAATATCTAAAATTGAAGACTCAAAAGTTAGCAGTATTCACGTATTACTTAGCATTACGGAAATGTATACACCCCAGAAGAAAAAGGCTAAAAGTTGAAAACGGTTGCTTCTGGAAAGACAAATTGAAAGGAGTGGCAAACTGCTGTAATTTGATATCTGACTTTTGGTAAAATCTGAAGTCTTAAACTTTGCACATGTATTAATTTGATAAAACAAAATCTTCAAAAAGAATAAGCAAGGACTTCTAGATATAGAAAACAGCATATGCAAAAGCATGGAGCTGTGAAAGAGCTGATGTTTTCTAAAAACTATTGGTGTCACAATAACCTAGGAAATGTAAGCAGAGGCCAGCAATGCCAGATGCCACAGAGAGGAAAAGTAGTAACTCCTCCTCACCAGCTTTGTGGATGCTGGCAAGTCACCTAACCCCTCCCAGTTTCCTCTTCTGTAAAATTTAATTATAGCACTTACTTCATAGGGTTGTTGTAACAATTCAACGACAATGGAAACAGATGAACTTTGCAAGATGTAACATGCTGTACACAGGTAAGGGATGCAGGCATGCCCCTGTGTCCCCTGGAACAGAGAGTTCTCAGCCTGGAGCTCAGAGGGTTCTGGGTAAGGGTGAAAACTACCCATGGGAACCTAATACCCAGACAAGCTGTTTAGCTGGCTGGGGCAGACAAGTCCCCCACAATCAGGGAATGTCATTGCTAGAAGCCACCTAGAAGATTCTAATCCAACGCCCTTGGTTTACTGAAGAAACAGGCTCTCAGTGGGAACCTTAAGCTGGACTCCTTGACCTTGTGGTTGCAGAAGTGGGAGGGCAGGTACCCATGGATGTCTAAATCAGATCAGGTTGATACAACAACAGGAGGATCTGCCTGGAGGTCTGGGGGAAGAGCAATGCCTGGAGCCAGCTTCCCAGCACTCCCACCCTTCTATTACTCCCCCTCCAAGGAATATCACTCTGCTTCCTATTCTGCCAACTGGCTTCCTGTAGCTTTAAATCCCATTGTTGAACTCAGTGACATGCAAATAATGACAGTCTTAATTAACTTAGTACGAAGAAACTTACTATACGCCAGGTACTATTCCAAATATTTTGCATGTATCAACTCATTCAATCCTCAAAAAAACCCTATGAAATTAGTTGTTATTATCCCCACTTTACGGAGGAGGCAACTGAGGGACAAAGAGATTATGTAATTTGATATATGATTGGAAACGGGATGAGCCAGGCTTCCAAACCAGGCAGTCCAGCTCCAGAGTCTGTAGTCGTAATCACCACACTTTACTGCCTCTCAGGCTTGAGTCTCTCAAGCCTCAAACTACTCACCTGTAAACTGGGCCACTCAGGGAGATGGCCTCAAAGCTCTCTTTCAATGTGAGAACTTCTGTTCTCGGAACTAAGATTCATCAGATATGTATGTACACCCAAGGGTGAGGACTCTTTACTGAGAGCAGGTTTTGAAGAAGAGCAGGGTGTGTACGTGGCCCCAGAATGGGAGGAGAAAGGAAACCCAGCCCACACAGGGAGATTAAACTGAGGAGAAAGCTAAAAAAAGCAAATGTCAACTTGCACAGTTTTATGCACACAGCCAATTCCCACACCATGCCAGTTTCCACAGCCTCACTGGACTCTGCTCTGTGCAGAGGCCCTGGCGTGGAGCACACAGTCAGCCTCTTTACCTGTGACGATGCAGGTGAACCTGACGTCGCTGTCCTCGGACACAGCCCGGGACTTGAGCGTGGTCTCGAATAGCGGCTGAGTCTCCTCTGTTAGGTGAGCAATGATGGAGCAGAAGGTGGTCCTAGGAAAGGCAAAGCGCTATTCAGAGCAGCCCTTCCCAAAAATATACCACAGCCTGGCATTGTCCAAGGCAGCTTAAATCTGTACCTTTGCAACATCCATCCATCATCCCATGGCCATGGCCACAGTACCTGGGCAACTCTTTCTTCAAGGGAGTCTGGGCCTCTTGGCCAGATCACGCGCAGGGATGATGCCCAGGGGCTGAATGGAAGCCTGGTTTAGGCCCATTACAACAGGCAGGCTGCTGACCATGGGCCAAGCTCCTGAGCATGCCAGACCCCAGGACCAGGTATCTCTACCCCATCCCCACTGGGGGCCTTGCTTCACCCTCTACCTTTCATTTCCAAGGAAGCACGTGCATGGGGGAGACACACACATGGATAGACCAAACCTCAGGGTTGGAGCCCCCAGCACAGTAGAGCCTCCACTCATGCCAAAGAGGGAAAAGCTGGACAACCCTCAAGGATATACAAGTCCTAGGAGCTCAGGGACTTCTTCTGGAGCTTGGGCTCTGAAGAAAAACTCCCGCATTTGTGAGCACAGACCCACAGTAGACAAAGAATAAGTCAGCCAGCACTAAGGGCCTAGACCCAAAGGTGGACTCTTATTCCTAGGGATATCAGAAAGATATCAGAAAAGAGAGTCTCAAATGAAGTCTGACCCCAGTGGGCTCTGGACCTGCAGTAGAAAGCCAGCCGTGGCTCCCCTGCTCCATCTCTGAGTACCACAGGCTGCAGTGAATACATGACTGGCAGCTCCAGAACAAACCAGCAGGACTGCCAAACCACAAACAGGTCCACCCCACAAAAGCCAGGACGTTTATTTCCCTTGTGACAGTCCATCTCCCGACTATAGGTACATCTATCTGTGGGCTTCCTGAGCCCAGCACAAACTCACCAGAAATGCTCATTGTTTATAGTCTTTTCCTTCCCAGGCACAGGAAGCAAACCACCAGGCCAAACCCCTTCATGGGTCAGCAGAGACACAAGTGCATTCCCAGGCGTGAAGCGCAACCACATAGCCAGGTTGTGTGGTGCACACTCTGTGCTCCCCCTCCCCACACAGAAACCCAATGTGAGCAGCGGGGAGGACCATGAGGGGGCAAAGTGTAGAGAAGCAGGAGGAACTGTAGTGAGAAAACTGCCTTTCTCTGTGCCTCGAAGGAGGGGGTGGTCACCCAAAGGCAATGTGTATCTGTCCGTGACCTCTTCACTAGGTGGTAGAGTGAAACTTTGCCGAGCACAAGCAATCAGAACCGACAGCCTACACACTTGGGGGTGGGTTCCACATTCAATTTATCGTTTCTGTGGATAGCACTATAGACTTGAGTTTGAGGAAAAAGGTTGCATCCCAGGAAGTGTGTGGAATCAAATAAAACTTCTGGAATGATCGGGGCCCAGCCTTGGCTTCTCCATGGGAATGCAGATACCTGGGCATTCGGGGAGTTGACAGGAGCCCTCCCCACAAAGACTAGATGGAAAGGGGATCCCAGCCCCACACACTTGAACACTGGAGTTGGGTCTGCAGTTAGACTTCCATAAAACTTTGTGCAACATTCTCACGTAGGACTCATCTGTTCAATAAGCTTCCTTTCCTTTCCCTTTTAAACCACTCAGAAATAGAGGGTCCTTCAGAACATAGCTCTCAACTCCCTGAACACTCAGGAAGTAAAATTGAAAAATGCTTCTTGCTGCTATCATACTAACAGCAATTTCTGACTTTGGGGAATACCAAATCTCAACCAACAGTTTCTAGAGGAAACTGCCATGCTAAAAGGAATCTGACTTCTATGACTGCAACTAATTTAGAACATCCCTAACTATATCCTCCCTACATAATTTGAATCCTGCCTCACCCATGAACATGACCCTGAATCCAATATTCAGCTTAGGCTCTTAGGGATGAAGCCAATTAGGTAAATCTAAGAAAATCATTTCAGCTTCTGAGTGAGAAAACATTAGAGCTACACTTCAAGAAAATTTGCAGAGACAAGTGCTAGAAATTCAACAACAGATATTTATTTTATTTCTCTTTTTGAATAGGAAAAAACATGTATCTTTTCAAACTTTCCACAGTAGGTCCTAAGCTATATTATAAAAAAAAAAAAATTATGTTTTAAAATTGTAACTGACTGCTGCAACATGACTAGATGAAAGCCCCCCAGTGGAGTGGGTTTGGGATGCATTTGAGGGGACAGGGAGAGTCACTGCATACACTGTCAAGTTCCACTGAATGTCACACTGCTTCTCATTGCCACAAACTTCCTGTCCCCATCCTCCAAACCACACAGATGTGCAATGGCCTCTAAGTGTGTTGTGTCCAGTTCCCTGGAAAGCCAGGAAGTCTACACATCTGGAAATGGTCTCATCCCACCATGACACCTCTAGGTCCTGCCAACTCTGTGACCTCATAAGGATATCACAGCCTAACCACGTGTCTCTAAAGAACACCAGAATCCTTGGTTTTCATGGTGTTCAAAGGAACCCAACACTCCCTTTAGGTTTGGTTATTTACCTCGTTTTAAGAAATCCTCCAAGTCCTCTCTCTTTCAGCACTTACCATACTCTGCTTTGAATTAGCTGTGTATAACCTCTCATCCACCTCCTTCAGACTGTGAGACCCCAGAACAAAGGTTTCCCAGTGCTCTCCCTCATCAAATGGCCACATACTTGGTAGGTGCTAACAATGTCTGTAGACACCATTAGCTATTCGCAGACCAATTAGTTACTCAGAAACCTTTCTGTGTAAAGAAACTGTAGCCAACTCTCCCCAAATCTACCAGACTCTGGGCTAAGGCCCAAGTGGTGGGAAGTAGCCAGGAAATGTTCCCACTTTGATCATAACAGTTCAGCCAGGGGTAGAGAGCTGTCCCCAGCTCAGGAGGCAAGAGGACAGTCCTCAACCAGCAAACCCTGGCCATGGGTCTGCTCTGCCCCTGTGCTGGCTCTAGAGCAGATCCAGCTAGTGCAGAACATGTTAACATGGTGTTGCTTGACTTCACCAAGTTCACAGTTTGCAGGGGGATGAAGGAGCCAAAGGAAAGGAAAATTCAGAGAAAGAGATGGTAGAAGAAGAACTAAAGGAATTAAAGAAAAGATGTTTTAAAAGTTAGTGGCCATGGTTAGAAGATAGACAATAAGGTGTCAAACCTGGATATGTGGTTACAAAAACCATGGAAACCTAGGCTGGGGAAGAAGTGGGTCATGTGACCAGTGGCTCCCTGTTCTGTTCTCATGGTGTCTCTCCCTGGGGCAAAGAGATACTGTTGCAGGCATCTCAGGGACCCCAACCTTGTCTCTATTCCTGGGTCCCTGCGCCCCTTCCAAATGGCCCATGCAAACATCAGCCCTGGCCCCTGTGAGACCCATGCTCACGTGAGTACCCTCTCACAGCCTCCCCCACCCACCCTCCAGCCCTCCCCTCACCCCATGCAGCCTGGTTAGTGCACAAGCAGTCACCCAGAGGCCCAGACCCAAGAAAAAAAGCAGTCCGAGAAATGTAATGCAATGTGCGTTTACCTTCCAGAGCTGGGGTGAGACAACCGGTTGCTTGATAAGCTAAGCAAAAACAGCAAACGGAATCATTAGGCCGAAAAAGCAAGGAGAGGAGGCGGCGAAATCAACAACAGTTGCAAAGTATTAATCGGCCACCATCTGAGGCCCAGAGGCCTTTCTATTAAAAGGGACCAGCTGTCTTAGTTGGCCTGCTCCAGTTAGCAAGTGGCCTCACCACCAGACACCAATGTATCTGAAATCAAGAGCTCATTAGATGCAGCAGAGTCCAGGAAAATGGTTAGACAGGAGGGAGGTCCCTTGGGGCTGCGCATTGAGAAAGGTGTGCCCCAGGCACTTGGGTCACTGTCCCCAAGAGCAGGGCTGACAGTTACCTGGCACATTTCCCCACCCTACAGCACACTAGCAGGGGCAGCTCCTGCTTCAGCCCTGGGCCGTTTTGGGGAGAAGAGGCCCCAATCCTGGAAATCCCCTGGCCGGCCGGCTGGGAAGGAGACAGGTGGCTTGGAGAACACCCACCACTAATACATTAAAGTTCAGTTAAGAAAGCCATACAAGGCAAATTCGCTGGGAGAGTGAAGAAGAGAAAACAAAGCAGTTAATTCATCAGGAGCTGAGAGACATCCAGCTCAGTCAGACCAGCACAGAGCCCCTCTGCCTTGAGGCTCCATCATCCCTTCTGTCTGGGTAGGCTGGGAGCAGACACTAGCAGAGACCAGTGGGCCACTGGGGGGTGAGGACCCACACAGGATGGTCCCTTTGTGGAGATCCAGCCCACGTGGGATGAGCCAGCTTTGACACCCTCCCTCCACCTTTCCCAAACCAAATGTCTCCAGTAGGGCCCTAGACCCCAGCTCTTAGTGAGATCTCAAGGCCACCCTACCCGTACTCTCTCCCTTCAGCTGTCTCTACCTTGAGAAAAGTGCTCCCTTCGTTACCAGCAGCCCAGCCTGCTCAATGGCACTCCAGGCCTACATTTCAAACCATAAGAAAGCTCCCCTGAGGTCCTATCTCTTTCTAACCACAAAACCAAACTCACCCTCTTCCCCAAAACCTGGCTTCCCTTGCAGTCTTCCCTGGGTTTGTGGATACCACCAGCATTCTCCCAAACTACTAAACTCAAAACCTGCCATCTTGGACTCCTCGCTCTCCCTCATCCTCTAAATCCAGGCAGTCAACAATTCTTGGCCCTTTTCTGTCTATGCCTGCTGGTGTGCTCCTCATTCTTAGCTCCGTATTTGATGGCCACCTCAGCTCCCTTCTCCTTACCCCTCACATCATACCACTTCTCTGAACAAAATGCTACAATCCCCCCACTGTCTATTACATTGCATGTCAACTCTTTGGGTATTTAAGGCCCTCCCTGATCTGCTCATACCCCCATTACAACCATGGTTCCCTCTACTTCCCAGCACTCACGTTCCACTGCAGCCTGACTTGTCCCTGCACTGGCATGAACATGTCCACTCCCAGCCCTGGGACTTCACTTTTGTCCTCCCTATTGCAAAGCCATCCCTCCTTCCTTCTGCTCAACTAAATCCTGTCCACCCAGGCTTCAAATCTAGCTGGTTCATAGCTTTGGTAGCTAGCACAGTGCTAGGCATACAGTGGGTGTTCGCTGTTTTAGAGAAGGAAGAATGGGAGGAAGGGAGGGAGGGAGAGGGGGATGGAAGAGAAAGACATCTTTCAAACAGGAAGGGTCTTGCCCCCCAGAGGGAGCTGCTGCTCCAGAAAAGATGGAAAGAAGAGAGCAAGAGTGCAGCTGCCTTTGCTCAGAGCTTTAAAAACCCTCTGGAGGCTGCGTGGGCAGAACCTCCCATGGGTCCAAGGCACCAGCCAACTCCATCCTTTCCTGACCATGGAACTTCCTTTAGCCCCTCTCCTTAGAGCTGAGAGATTTCTACTTTGTTAGGTCCGGGTTTCTTCCTTGGGAAGGAGAGGGAGTGAGTCAGCTCTCTAATTTAGAGAGGAAAATGACAGATTTCACAGGTTCCACCTGCAAGTGGGCAAGGGACTGAGCTGAGATAGTGACCCTCCACCCCTCCAGCACACACACATTCTCCCTGCTGCTTTCTGGTCAGGATGCTCTGCTCCCTGGCCCTACTGTCCTCTTTCTCTAGGCTTCATGCTTGGTTGGCCAGGTCAGGACCTGCTTGTGCCCTGCTTCTGGGCCAGAGCTAGGCTCAGGGCTCCCACCCGGGCTGGGGTGAGGGGGGTTCCCCATTTACTGCCTCTGAGGAAGTCAGAATCAGAGACATCAAATGCTGGGGCAGAAAGGCCTTAAAGAGTTCCTAATGCCACCTTTATTTTACCGAATAGGAATACAGGACCAGGAAGGGCAGGGCTCCTCACATAAAGGAGAGCAGCAGGCCTAGGGTGGGGGCTAGGGACCAGGGCTAGCCATGGAAGCTGGGGACCTCCCACCCTCGACAGGCTTTCACCTATTCTGGGATGTAAAAGGACCTTGGGAAGTACTGGCCTGATGTTTCAGTTTCCCTGACCCCTCTATATGACCTGCCCAACCTGAGCAGAACAGCAGAGATTACAAAGTTATTTACAGGAACATCACAGGCTCTGCTGCTCCTCTGGTCTCACCTGGGCCAGGACCTCCAAGAAATGAGGGGACAGGAACTTCTGGAATGTCTGAGTGTCCCTCAGAAGCTAGTGGTTCCTTAACCCACCTTAACCCACTGTACCCGTCCATCTCGTAGGAGTGAAGCAGTAGAGGCTGGTGACCTAGGAGGCTGGGCCTACAATCTGGTGAAACTATCTGCCTGTCGAGCCTCTGACCCCAGCGGGTATTGGAGATATCCTTGAGCCAGTTTTGGACTATAGATTTCTCCAGAGACGGGGGTGGGGAGAGGGGGTCAGGACTCTGGGCCAAGGCTTCTGGTAGCCTGCCCCAAGCCAGCTGTCCATCAGCTCCCAGGGGCAGCCCATCCTCACAAGGGCCCACCAGAAGGATGCCTGAAGAGCTCCATGATAGATATGTATAGAGGTAGACCTGAAAAATGCTGGAGCCAAGAGTGAATGTAGACAGGGCTCACCTCTCAGTCCGGACCCTGGGAAGGTGAGGGCTCCTGAAAACACGGTGACTTTGATGTTCTATTAGCTAGGCTGGAGCTGGGGACAGCTAGGGATCTCTTCAAGGGACCCTCTTTCTCTTTCATCTCTTGGGGCTCTCACCATCCCCATGGGCAGTGGGGCTGTTCTGAGCAATAGTGGACTGTATGGTTGCCTCCTCCAACACAAGAGTCAGACTTGGCTAGACAACTGGGAGCTGTTCCTTTGACCCCCTCCCCAACACACAGCCCCATTCACATTCTCCCCTCTTTGGTCATAAGCTTTTCCTAGGAATCCAGCTCTTCTTGTCCTTCAGGACCTGTGAGGGTCAGTGGGCAGCTAACAGGAGCAGTAAAAAACTCTGCAAGGGCAAAACACAGTCCAGAGTACTGGGCTAGAAACCCCTCTCACCCACTGTCCCTGGCCTGCCCCCTCCAAAGGCTTGATGACAGTCTCTTTTTAAGAACATTCCCATTTAAGTCCAAGGGGGACTTAAGCCAGCCACTTCTATCCCACCTCTAGCTCTCAGGCTGGCACACTACTTTGCGCTCATCAGGTGTGTAATTAAGATTCATCTACCACACAACTGCTCAGACAGGCAGCCCCACTGTCTCCACTCTCCCAACAGCCTTTGTCCTAATAACCCAGACACTCTCCACTCCCTATTCAGCCCAGTTTTCAAGCCACCCTTCCATCCCTCTCTCTATTACTGCTATCTCCAAGAAGGGCTCTGCTTCCACCTCTTGTACTGAGAAAGACCAGACTCGGGAGGCAAAGCCCAGACAAGCCATTGAGATAAGCGTGAGACAAGTGTGAGGCCCCCAGAAAGGAGTGAGTGTCACCAAGGACTGGAAAAAATGTCCACACTTCATTCCAGTTTTTCCAGAGAGCCAGTGGTTATGAGGAAGGGGCATTCTTAATGTTGGCAGTCGGGGGCCATGTCAACTCTGACTCAGTCTAACACCAGCCCTCAGCCCTGCCTCAGACATGTGACACCATTTGACAAGTTTTATGCAGAAACCGGTTCCGGTTACATCTGAACTTTTCCAACTCCAAGGTCAACAGAACTCAGCCAATACATGAGGAAGTGCCCAGGACTTTTCCTGAATGTCCTTGATGCCTGTTTTTGAGCTGTTTTAGGAACAGAGGACAAGAGGTCCAGAGACAGCTTCTCAGAGGAGGGGCTGTTTTCTGCATAACCTAGAACAAATTCTGAAGGGATGAAACAATCACTATTCCAATAGCCAAACCATCACGTTTCCCTGTGGAAAATAGGCTCCAGAGTTAGAAGGAAAACTGAGCAGCCCAAAGGGGGCAGGAAGTGCCCATCTCCATGGCAACACTCATGTCTGGGGGCCTTTGAGTGCCTGTACACGTCTCTATTGTCTTATCTCTGTGTGTGTGCCTTTGTCTGAGCCTAGCTGCTAAAACAAAGCCTCCACACCTCTTCAAGCTCTTGGAAGAATAGCAAAGTGTTCATCAGTTAGATCCCTCCCTTGGCACCCCACTCCCCCGAATTGGGCAGGGCAATCGGTTCCCTCAGAGCCACAAGCTCTCAGTCCTGGACATCTCCAGACAAGGCCAACCAGCACCTCATCCCAACTCCCACAAGGGTTCTGAGGAAGACCAAAGTCCTGGTCCCAGAGGAGGAACCTTATTTGCATAGCTTTATTTCTTCTTGGTGAATCCGCTCCTACTCTGGGCTAACTAAGCAGCACCCCCCACCCCCGCCCCCTATGCCTCGCAGCTCCCCTGCCACCCCTCTCCCCCTCCCTTCCAGCCAGGAGGAATTTCAGCCACTCTGGGTTTCCTTATCACTAACTGTGGAATCCGAGTCCAGGGAGTAGCGGGGTGTGGGGTGAGGGGTGCCGATGGACAGGGGGAGAGGCAGGGAGACAAAGAGAATCTTCAGGCCCCAGTCTGTGAAATTATCCCCAAATCCAGCCTTTCTCCTCTTCTGAGCCTCGCTTTGCCAGAGGCCTGAGCCCAAGGGCCATGAGGGGTGGAGAGGAGCCGGGAGGGCCCGTGAGGCCATTCCGGCCTGGAACCAGGCCTCAGGCCTTGGGGCTCTGAGCTCGAGGGCGCAGGCCCGTCCAGGCCTCCAGAGACCCGCGGCGCCTCGGGCCAGCGCCTCGGGCCCCACTGGAGGGCCTTGCTAACGGCCTCGCCACCCGGCCAGGCCCCTCCGGCGCGACTCACCTGGTCTCGGGCCGCACGCTGAGCAGGTAGCTGCGGCTGGCCGGGCTGGGGGTCCACACTGGCCCGTCGTCCTCGCCGTCGCCCCCCGCCCCGGACCGGACGTCCGCGCCGCACTCGCGGCTCAGGGCCCTCCGCGATCCCATGGCGCTGCCCGCCCGCCAGGCCCCTGCCCGCCACTGGCTGCCGCTTGGGCCGAGGCTGACGCCCGCCCCTATTTATAGCCCAGCGGCCCAGCCGTCGTCACCTGCTGCTGTCCCTCCCCCGGTCTGGCTCGTGAGCGCGGCCGCCGAGGCGCCGGGGGGCGCCAGGCCGCGGGGGCCTGGCCTGCCTCGCCTGGCCTGCCCAGAGCTGCCGACCCCCGGATTCGTCCATTCATTCCAGCCGACCGACCGACGGCAAGGAGCTCCACGCCTGCTGCTGTCGGGCGCCGGGGCGGGAGGTGCCCTGTTCTTGAAAAGTAAACGCGGAAAGGCCCCCTCGAAGAGTTCCTAGAACCCCCACTTCCTGTCAACCTTCCTTCCCTGCTCCTGTCCCGTTTTGCGAACTAGGAAGCTCAGACTCTGCCCCCTCCCGACCAGAGGCGCTCTCAGATGGGAGCAGGGGGTGCAAAGGCAGGAAGCATCAAGGAGCGAAGCCTGGTGAGGCCACAGAGGCCGGAGGGAGAGGGAGCCCCGTAAGTCGCTTGGGAACTTGGACTAGACCCAGTGGGAGGGAGCCAGAGGACTGACCCTTTTCCTGGAAGTAGCCCTCACTGGCACTCCTCATCCAGTGACTGTTGGTCCAGCCCTTAGACAAACCCACACACCTCCGTTAGTGACCTCAAGTCCCTGGGAAGCTGTGACTCCTCTGATACATATCTTGTGTTCTCCTTCAGTGTCTAGCACAGATTAGGGACTCAGGACACACTTCTAGAATAAATGAACCTCCTTCTTCACCCCTTAACTTGTCATTTCCCAGTGCCTGAGTCCCAATACCCAGAAAAATAATTCAATCATTCGACAAGTTCCCGAGGGCAAAGTTTAAGCATTGCGCTAAACCTGGTTCTAGACATTGGGAGTGACCACAGTTCATTTACCCATTTTTTTCTTTCTTCTCCCACTTCCCTGAGAGCATCCAGAAAGTGCTTAGAGCTGGATGGCTATAATTGTTAGAAAGCTGGAACAAAGAAGTACAACCCCTTTGTTCTAAAAGTTGCACCCATGACCCCATTCCTTTTGGGAATGGCTCTTCTCCCACTCTAACTATGTGATTCCAATGGCAATTGCCATTCCTGTATGATCCCATGCCTGCATTCCACATGATGCCCACAGAGTAGACATCAGACCCAAGATGTGCCAATTAAAGTTCTTCCCTAGAATTTTTTAAACTGGAATTGAGAAAACCAGTCCCTCTGTGGTGGAAAGCTGTGAGCTGTGAGGCCCAAGTTTTCAGTGATGTGGAGGAGGCCAGTCTGCAGTTAGAAAGAAGGAGGCTGACACAAGAGAAGCAGAGAAGAGGGGCACAGAGTTCTGATGGCTTTCAGGTGCCTTGTTGCAGTTGATCCTAAGGTCCATCCATGTCCCTGGCTTCCTGCAGGTTGTTGGTTCAACCTTTCCTTGGCGTTTGTATACCAAAAAAGGTCTCCCTTTGCTCAAACTACTTCAGATTAGGCTTCTCCTGGTGAAATATGAATCCTAACCAGTTCTAAAGTGCTTTCTCATAAAAACTAGTGCCATTGAGTCAATTCCAACTCATGGCAACCCCATGTGTGTCAGAGTAGAACTGTGCTCCCTCGGGTTTTCAATGGCTGATTTTTTGGAAGTAGATCACCAGGCCTTTCTTCCAAGGTGTCTCTGGGTGGACTCGAGCCTCTCACCTTTCAGTTAACAGCCAAGTGCATTAACTGTTTGCCCTATCCGGGGATTCCTATTTTCTTACAGTGAGCCTAAATCCATCTCCTGATCACATGCCCCCATTGGTGCTTATTCTTGGCTCTCTTGAGATGTGCATGTTAAAATTTCTTGAGTTGTCTACAAGGAAGCTCTTCAAGTATTTGAAAACAGCTTACTCCAACTCTCTTGAAATTTGGTTCCTTTGCTTAAATCGTGCGAACCACCACCATGTATCAGGCATTGTGCTAGAGGCAGGGGTCACATGATTCCTGACGTGAAGAAGCTTACCGCCTAAAATAGTGGAGACAGGCATATAAGCAAAATACAATGCGGAAAGAAACATACAATTATAAAATTATGTATAGGGGAGTGTACAAGCATAAAGAAAAGAGTGGTTAGTTCTGCCTGGGGGTTTGGTTAGGACACTTTTACAAGGAAGGGAGTAATGCTTGAAAAGGATTTTGAAAATTAAATAAGTGCTCATCAAGTAGACTGGTGGGAGTAGGGGGGAAGGGAGAACACATGGGATAGACAGAATATTCTGGATAGAGGGAACCAAATCCATTGCCGTTGATTCCAACTCATGGCGACCCCATGTGTTACAGAGTAGAACTGAGCTCCACAGGGCTTTCTTGGCTGTAATCTTTACAGAAGCAGATCTCCGGGACTTTCTCCTATGGCGCCGCTGGGTAGGTCTGAACTGCCAACCTTTCGGTTAGTCGTCAGGTGCAAACCAGTTGTGCCACCCAGGTACCTGATAGAGGGAACAGTATGTGCAAAGATTTGGAGTATGGCGGTATGAAACAGCCTGGTATGCGTGCCACTCAAGTGTAAAGATGATGGGCAAGTAAACAGAGATGAAAATACGGCAGGGGCCATTTCTCATATAACAATGGATGTGGAACTACTAGTTACCCTGGTCACCCTCCAACTGATCAATTTCTATTGAAAACGTGGCACCGCAGAGGTAAGACTGGAGCAGCCTAGAACAGAATTAACACCTCTCTGGGTCTGAAGTCCACACATTAGCAACAGCTTTTTTGGCAGCCAAATTATTTCATTGACTCATCAGCATGGGAGTTTTCCACATGAACCACTGTTTCCCCAAGTCTTCCCTACTCCTGCTTATAGAGTTCAGTCTTTTTTATGCTAAATGCAGAAACTTACCCTTATGATTTTTAAATTAAATCTCATCCTCTTAGTCTCCTACTCCCTTTCCTTCTTGTCTAGATCTTTTTGAACTCTGATCCTGTCATAATCTGTGTATCATCTGTCCCTCTCAGCTTCTTGCTCTCTGCAAATTTAATAAGCTGACTTCCTGTCTTCAACCAAGTTAATGATGAGGGGGCCAGAGCTGAGTACAGAATGTCAAGGCACTGAGGGATGGAGAGGTCAATGAGGCACAGTCTCTTTTCCTCTCTGAGCTTACAATCTACCAGGAGAGAGAGGACATGTAAAGTGGTGTTGCCTAAGAGCATTAGACTAGGAGTCAGGAAACTCAGGTTCTAATCCTGCTCTTCCACTGAGCAAGCTGTGTAACCTTGGGCAAGTGGTTTACCATCCCTGAGCTTCCGCTTTCTCCTTTGTAAAGGGAGAGCGGGGCACATCCTTTATGATCCTGAAGGTCAAAGCTGTTCACTCAGCAAATATTTATTAAGTAACGCCTACATGCTAGGCATCGTGTCAGGTGCTGAGGGTACAGAAATGAATAGTCACAGTCTCTACCCTCAAGAAGATATGAAGACTGAAGGAAAGATAGAAAATTAAAACAGAATCGCCATAACTGCTCTGATAGAGGTTTGCGCATGCTCCGGTTCTGTATTTGGAAATAACCATGATACAAAGCAGTCAGTGTTTGCCATTAAATATGAGTACTGATGAAGTGCTGTCAGAATTTGTTACTGATGCCAGGATCCGCTCTTCAGGTTGTTTTGAACTTCCTGGGGCCCCAGAATAAACTGGGTGCTTTTGGTAGGAAAATCTTGGGCTACTGTTAATTACCATACTTAGCCCAGCGTAAGCTGCTCCCTCCCTGTCAGAGGATGGTGGAGTCTCCCAGAACACTCTGAGCCAACCGTGTCCACCCCTCTTACCAATGTCTGTTGGGTGCTGTCAAATCGATTTTCGACACATAGTGACCCCATGTGATGGAGTAGAACTGCCTCATAGGGTTTTCTAGGCTGTAATCTTTACAGGAGCAGATAACCAGGTCTTTCTCCTGCAGAGCCACTGAGTGGGTTCGAACTGCCAACCTTTTGGTTAGCAGCAGAGCGTTTAACCATTGCACCACCAGGGCTCCTTCACCAAGGTCTAGCTGTGTTTGAAGATAGCTTGAATTTTTACTTAGTCCCAACTCTTCCCCTTCCTACCCAGTTCTCTCTCTCTCCTGTTGTTAACTGCTATCAAGTCAGCGCCTGACTCATGGTGACCCCGTGCACAACAGACTGGACCATTATGAGCTGTAGAGTTTTCATTGGCTGATTTTCAGAAGTAGATCACCAGGCCTTTTTTCCTACTCCATCTTAGTCTGGAAACTCCACCAAAACCTATTCAGCACCGTCAAAAAACCAAACCCATTGCGAACCTGTAGGGCAGAGTAGACCTGCCTGGTAGGGTTTCCAAGGAGCAGCTGGTGGATTCAAACTGCCAACCTTTTGGTTAGTAGCCAAACTCTTAACCACTGAGCCACCAAGGCTGCAGTTCAGCATCATAGCAACACATAAACCTCCACTGACGGATGGTGGCTGTGCATGAGGTACGTTGGTCAGGAACCAAACCCTGGCCTCTTGCATGAAAGTCAAGAATTCTACCACTGAACCACCACTGCTAGGAACAATCTAAGCATTAGACATGGGATGGCATTACCCAGTACTTATCCCCAATATTTATTAGCTATCAGGATGCCACTCCACATTCCTCACCACCTTTGGCTGAACTTATTAAAAACAATAATGGTCACCTCATTGAGTGCCACTGTGCCCCAGGCTCTGGTCCCCTGCCATCATCCTAGCCTCTCTTGACTCAGCAACACCCTGGCAGCAGGCCATTGACCTTGTCCTCTCAAAGACCACCACTTCTCTTTAGCAGCCCAATCAAATGCCCACGACTTGAACCTTGTCATCATGAATTTCTCCACCTCTAAAATGCCAAGCTGTTATGCTTCCATCTCTCAAGCTGCCCTGGGTTTCTGGGCAACCCCAGACCTCAACTCCTCCCTAACCTCTCCATCCATGAGGTCCTTCCTAGCTTCTCTTAACCACCCCCACCCATCC